GTGGAAGTAAGGAGGTAGGAGGCTACTGCAATGAGTTGGAGACTGACTAGGGTGACAATGAGAACTGATTGGATAGAGGATACTTTTTTGAAAGCAGAACCATTATGATTTGCAGATGGATTGGCCATGGGATATAAAGACAGGGATCAAAGATGACTCCCAAATGTTTGGTGCCAGCAGCTGAGTAAGTAGGCAAACGGCAGTGCCATTCATCAAGATAGCAAACAGTGAGCCAGGCATGGTGGTGCATGCCTGCAATCTCAATGACTCTGGAAGCTGAGGCAGTAGGATTACAAGTTTGAGGCCAACCTCAGCTTAGCAAGACCTTATCTTGCTAAGGTCAACTTAGCAAGACCAACTTAGGCCACCTTAGCAAGACCCTATCTCAAAACATAAAGGGCTAGAGATGTAGCTCCAGTGGTAGGGTATCCCTTGGTTCACTCCCTGGTATGGAAAAAAAAATTAAATGATGGCAAAGAGTGGGCAGGAGCAGATTTGTAGATGGGAGCACAGGAGTTCAGTATTTGGACTTGTAAGTTTCAGAGACCTAATATCCAAATGGAAATGTTAGGTAGTCACTGTAGCATTCAGGAAAGCATTATTTTAAGGGTCAGCACCATATAAATAGTATTTACAGTCCTGGGACTGAACAAGTTCAGTTAGGGAGTTGTTATAGATAAAGAAGACGTTAAGTGTGAAAGATGAGGCAATAGGGAAGGACCCATATACACAAGAACGAATACACAGGGTCTTTCTCAATAGGAAGGACCCTATGTATTCATTCTTGAGATGCTCAAATCAAAAAATGACAGGCATTCTGGGGGCTGGGGCTATAGCTGGGTGGCAGAGTGCAACATGAGGTACTGGGTTCAAYCCTCTCAGCACCACATAAAAATTTTTTAAAAAATGAAATAAAGGCATTCTGTCCTTCTACAACTACCAAAAAAAAATCTTTTTTTAAATGGGAGGCATTCTGGACATCCCTTCTGCATCGTCACAATTCAGTTCAGTCCATCTCCAAGTCCTGCCAATTCTACCTCCAAATTACGCCTGGATCCAGCAGAGTGGCACATGCCTGTAATCCCAGCAACTCGGGAGGCAAGAGGATCACAAGTTTAAGGTCAGCCTGAGCAACTAACGAGACTCCTGTTTCTAAATAAAAAGGGTTGGGGATGTAGCTCAGTGGCTAAGCACCACTGGGTTCAATCCCCAGTGCCAAAAAAATGAAAGCCAAAACACACCATCTTTACCTTCACCATCTAGGCCAAGACCACCATCATCTCTTATCATGTCTTTTTCCCAGCTGACCTCCCTCCATCCATTCCGCTGGCTCTAGTCTGCTCTCCTCACAACAAACAGCCAGAGTGTTTTTTTAAAAATGAAAATCTTGGACTGGGGAGTTAGCTCTTTGGTAGAGCACTTGTCTACCATGAGCAAGGCCCTGGATTGAATTCTCAGCACCGCAAAAAAAGAAAGAAAATCTTATCATGTACTACTTAAGATTCTTTAATAACTTCCAAAGTCACTTAATAATTGTTTCTTCACAGTGCTGGGGATCAAACCCAAGGCCTTATACATGTTAGGCAAGTGGTTTATCACTAAGCCACACCTCAACCCCAACACACTAAATATTTATAAAAAAAAAAATCTTATTATTTACCAGACCCTGTATGCTCCTCCCCTTACTAACCTCACTTACTGTGACCTTCCCCAATACCTTACACTTTAGCCCTCATTACAGTGGCAATGTCCTAGTTCCTCAAACAGACCATAGAAGAATTTAGCACAAAGCCTGATAAGCAGCAGGCGTTCAATAAATGCAAGCTCTTGTTATTATCACTTAGTTCTTCTCTACCTCTAAGTCTTCACAGATGCTATTCCTTGTTTCAGGTATTCTTCTCTTTACTCTTCTAACTTTCTAACTAACTTTTTCTCCTTCTTTAAGTCTTTATTTGTTTTTATTGCTATATAACAAATGATCACAAATATAGTGCCTTAAAACAATGTAAAGTTAGGAGTCGGAATGTAGCTCAGTGATAGAATGCTAGCATATGTGAGGCCCAGGGTTTGATCTCCAGCACTGCAAGAAAAAAAAAAAAAAGGACAAAAGAAAAAAAAAGCATAAATGTATTATTTTACAGTTTCTAAGGGTCAGGAGTCTGGCACATTTTAGCTGGGTCCTCTACGCGGAGTTCTTTTGAATGGCTCACCTGATTAGGTCAGGCCCACACAGAATATTCTCCCCCTTTTTTTTTGGAAGGAGGGTACCCATGATTGAATTTAGGGGTACTTGACCACTGAGCCACATCTCTAGCCTTTTTTTTTTTTTGTATTTTATTTAGAGACAGGGTCTCACTGAGTTGCTTAGTGCCTCACTTTTGCTGAGGCTGGCTTTGAACTCTCAATCATCCTGTCTCAGCCTCCTGGACCACTGGGATTATAGGTGTGAGCTACTGAACCAGGCCCTTTAAATAAATAAATATATATATATATATATATATATATATTGTTGATGGATCTTTATTTATATGTGGTGCTGAGGATCGAACCCAGTGCCTCATACATGCTAGACAAGCACTCTACTACTGAGCTACAACTCCAGCCCCAATATTCTCCCTCTTGATTAACTCAAAGTTGTTTAAAGACCTTAGTTACATCTGCAAAAGCCCTTCTCTTTTGTATATAACATACTCATTGGAGTGAAATCCATCATATATGTAGTCCCATCCACATTCAAGAGGAAGGTGTAATAACAGAAGGCATGTATACCAGAGACTGGGAAATTCAGGGACCATTTTAGGATTCTGCCTACCACAAGGTCTCAGCCTAAAAGTTACTTCCTTAAAGAAACCTTTCCTGAATACAAGTGTAAAATAGGTTCTTTAGGCAGTTCAGTGGTAAAGTACTTGCCTTGAATGTGTGAGGCCCTAAGTTTGACTCCCCAGCCCTGTAAAAATAAATATAAAAGTAAAGTAAAATATCTGGGTGTGTGACACATTCCTGTGATTTTATAATCCTACTAACTTGGGAGAGTGAGGAAGGAGGATCCCAAGTTTGAGCCTAGCCTTGGCAACTTAGTGAGACCTTATCTCAAATAAAAATAAAAAGGGCTAGGAGTATAGCTCAGTGGTAGAGTATACAACGTTTTAATCCTCAGTGTGAGAAAGAAAAATTAAAAGTTCCTTGAACATAGATAGTAAATGTACARTGATTCCTACAGGCCAAAGCCCCTCCTCCCACTGCTAAAATGAAATACCTACTTGATTGGGAATGGTGGGGTGAGAGGAATAGCTCAAAATGGAGCCCAGGGAGAGAAAGCTAACATGTGAGATTCTCAGGTGACCCTACAAATGAAAGTCTCACATAGAAGCCAACCTGGAAAGGATCATTTGCTAAACAGAGCTGTCTTCCTCACCTCCCTCTCTCACCGGCTGTGGAATTCCTGGGGCAGGTGGAGGCAGGTTGTTCAAACCTTAGGAACCCCTCTGACAGAGAAGGTATGCGCTCTGAATCCTGCAACCCAGTGCCCAGGGCCCCATGTTCTTGCCTTCTGCCTTTGCTTTTCCAGGATATAGATCATCATGAAAGAGAGTCATTGGGAAGAGGGCAGGGCCACAGGGAAAGCTGGAAATCTCAGCCAACATTACTGCACATCTCCCTGGCCCATTATAGTGACTTAGGTTCCTGCCATGGGATTTACTGTGTGAGTCTCTGTATCACCCTCTTTCAGTTCTCTTTTACAAAGGGACCCCAGGACTTTCCTTCACTCACAGTAAACATTCATCAGATCTTCCTCTTTGTGGCTAGGAGGAGTATAGGGCCCTGCTTAAGTCAGGGAAATGGAGCTGACTAGCTGAGCACATTGGCTCATACCTCTAATCCCAGCAACTCAAGAGGGTGAGGCGGGAGGATGGCAAGTTCGGAACCAGCCTCAGAAATTTAACAAGGCCCTAAGCAACTTAGTGARACCCTGTCTTAAAAAATAAAAAATGTCAGAGAGGTAGCTCAGTGTTAAACTGCCCTTGGGTTCAATCTCCAGTACCTACCCCACCAAAAAAAAAAAAAAAAAAAAGAAAGAAAGAAAAGAAAAGAAAGAAATGGAGCTGACCTGGGGAGGGTTGTGGCTCCAACAGTCTGGCAGCCCTGCCAGCTGAGCTGAAGTCATCCTGGAGCTGAGATGCTTGTGGGACGCCAGAGCTGGAAGAGACTTCCAGGTTCATCCTGTCCACACTCTCCCATTTTATCCATGGAAAACTGAGAGCCCAATGAGGAAGAGGACTGGCCCTAAGTCACACAGCTTATGAAGAGGCAGCTAGACTCACCCCCCAAGTGGTCTCTTTGCTATTCCATTTGTTTTTTTCTCTCTGAGCAGAAGAATCCAAAGTTACACAGGAACAAAAATAAAGCAAGCTCCTCCTGAGCCTCTGGTTCTTCATATCCTTTTTTTTTTTTTAAGTTGTAGATGGACATAATACCTTTATTTTTATGTGTTGCTGAGGATGGAACCCAGTCAAGGCAAGCACTCAACCCTGAACCACAATCCCAGCCCAATTCTTCATCTCTTAATGCATTTTTTTTTGATACTACAGATTGAACCCAAGGGCACTTAACCACTGAGCCCCAGCCCAMGCCCTTTTTTATTTTTTATTAGAGAGAGGGTTTCGCTGAGTTGCTTAGGGCCTCGCTGAGTTGCTGAGCCTGAGTTTGAATTCACGATCCTCCTGTCTCAGCCTCTCAAATTGCTGGGATTCCAGGTGAGCGCCACCATGCTCGGCTTCTTCATTTCTTAAATGGGAATAATTTTACTTCCTTGACAACTTACCCACTGTTCATGAAGCTTGAGTGAGTCAATAGAGGAGAAATGACAGTGGTAGCAGAACTGTCTACCCAATGACAAGAAGACTCCAGAGTAGAGGTGACCACGAGGGATCTGACRGTGTGGCAGGACAGATGGGCTCAAAAGATGTGTGTTCACTTTGTGGTCCTCCCCAGGTGGGGCCTTGGCCTGGGTTACCATGGATACCATGTCCCTGGAGCATCAGATTCAGAGCGTGCAGCGACACATCAGCTTCCTGAAAAAGGAACAGATGGCACTACTTCGAGACCTGCACCTGGAAATTCTGAGGCTGCAGAAACGCTGCTCAGGTGAGGCCAAGAGGGCCGGCTGGCTGGCTGGGTGAGGAAGGGTCAGTGTTATCATCATTACTGTTGTCTTTGATAGGGTGGCCACCATGAGCCCCTGTGAGTCTCACATTAATCCTGTCACTTCCTTTTCTGGATGAGGAAACTGAGACTTGGGAAGGTAGAATAAGAGCTTTGGGGTTGAGGGCTCTGGTGAGGTTGTAGATGGGGGAACATGGAAACAAGTTCCTACAGATTCCTGTCTTTCTTTGAGTCACTGTTCACTAAGCACCTCAAGCCCTGAAGAAACCACGAGTCTAACTGGGGAGACACATACCAAYGGTGATACTAAGATGTAGAAGAGGGCTGTGGTTGTGGCTCATGCTAGAGCGCTTGTGTAGCATGTGGAAGGCACTGGGTTCGATMCTCAGCACCATATAAAAATATGTCCAAGAACAACTTAAAAAATTTAAAAATAAAAAAAGATAGAGAAGAAGTCTGGGGATATGGCTCAGTGGTAGAGGGCATGTTTAGTATGCGCAAGGCTTTGTGTTCAATCCCCAGAACTGAAAAATAAACATAAAGTATTGTGTGTATATATATATATATATATAATTCATATATAATTCATATATATAATTCATATATATTCATATATATATATATATATATATATATATATATGCATATGTGAAGGTGGGAAGGTTGTTCACAGACAAGGTCATAGTCAACCTGGAGCAAGTGATAAAGGAGGAAACCAAGGCCCCCCAGAGGAGGAAGCACTTCAACTCCTTGAAAGCTGACTAATAAATAGACATGGTAAGATATTATAAGGAGGGCTGGTGTTATAGCTCAGCAGGTACAGTGCTTGCTGTGCATGCACAAGGCCCTGGGTTTGATCCCCACCACCACAAAAAGAAAAAAAAAGATATTATAAGGAAAGGAAGAGGAAAAAAACCTTCCAAATGGAGGCAACAGCATAGCAAAGGCCAAAAGGTAAGAGATCAATGCTCATGAAAAGTTCTGTTTGACAGGATAAAATTGATCTGAGAGGAGGCTGGTGAGAAATCCAGCTGGAGGTAGRTTGTGGAAGACCGTAACAAATACCAGGATAGCTAAGGAGTTTGGCCTGTCCACTTAGAGATAGTGGGGAGCCACTGAAGGTTTTTGAGCTCCATCAGTATTATGCTGCCTTAAGAAACTCAATCTGGCAGTTTCATGGAAGATGAATTGTGAGAGAGGGAGATCAGGAGACTTATGGAAGAGCTAATGAGATGGTCCAGAAGAGAGAATGAAGAGGGATGGAAAAGGGAAGGCCAGTGAAAGGCAGGTTGAAGGAAAGGGCTTGGCACCTGATTGGATTTGTGAGTATGGTGAAGAGAGGCAAAGGACAGAACAAAATCCCAGGCTGGCTTCTACTCTTGAACCTGCAGCCTCAGCTGCCTGAGCCTCTCAGAGCCTTGCCTTTGGCCCAAATGCTCACACAGGTTTAGGCTCCCTGAGTACAAGCTTTGAACCATTGGCTACAGAATGTCTCAGCTGGGAGGACCCAATTTGTTTATTGCATAAATGGGTAAACTGAGGTACAGAGAGAGACTCATACACTATGTTAAGGGCAGAACCAGGACGCCTAGTCCTATGTGCCTCTTCAGCTTTCTGGACATTCTCTACCTCCAAGATACTCACTCCTCTACCTCTCTTGCAGCCTCTGTCCATGGGAGGGTCCCCTCTGCAGGGGGAAACAGGCCTAGAGAGCTTGAGGGACCCACCTGGCTTCTCACACTGTGGCACAAGCAGTAGTTAGTCCTGACTCTCAACCACCACATTCTTCTCCTGGTCCACATACAGGTCAAGCTGCCAAACTCCAAAGCAGGCTTCCTGCAATCTCCCCCCAAAGACCAGATGGCAGCAGAGACCATCCTAAGTGCAGGAATGGTCCATGAGAACTCATCCCTGCCCAGTGAAACTTTGGCATTGAAATAACAGCCTTAGAGGAAAATAGTAATCCTAAGACCTTACAGCACTTCCTCGAATTTCTTCTTGTTTTGCCCTAATTCCGAGAACTTGGATCCCCTGGCTCCTGACACAGGCTGGATCCCAAGAAAGTATCACAGGCAGGCACAGAGAGCCCTTTGCCCTCACTACCCTTCTTAAATGGGCATGGATCGACAGACTCTTGATTATTGATTAAGAAGATAAAAATAACYCTGGACTGGGCTGGAACAGCCACCGTGGGGGCTGAAATGACTGAATAAGGCCCTCCCTCCAGGAGGAAGGGCTGATGAGAAGGGGGAAGAACAAAGGAAAAGATGGGGTGGTGTTGAAGAGCATCGCAGAGGCTAGGAAGGGGATAGGAAAGGAGAGAAGCCAGGAGAGCTTCTGGAAACCTAGGCTGGCTGAAGACTCGGGACAAAGGTGCTTGAGAAGGTGGTGGGTGTGTTCTGGGCTGGCTGTGCAGCCTGAAAGATGACAAGAGCTGCCTATCGCCTACTGTGCACTCAGCACTAACTCAGCCCTGGACCAAGCCCTCTGTTTATTTTCCCTCACTTCCTTCTGGCACCCAGCCCCTTAGAAGTGCTGTTTTGTCCCCATATTCCAGATGAACAGWGGCTCAGAATGGTGCTATTACTGGCCCAAAGTCACAGTGTATCTGACCTCACAGCATGCTCATCTGAACCATGAGGACTCTGGTCAAAAGATGGGAAGGAACATTTGCCAGATGGAGGAGTGCAGCCCAGCTGGGATTCTCTCTCCCCATCCTCCAGTCCCATGGTGAAAGGCTGAAGAGAAACCAGCCCATAGGGAGGTAGTGGCAAAGCCAAGGTCTCTTGAGCTAAGTTCCTAACCTAGTCCATGGTCCCTTGAGCTACATTGCAAAGTTTCGAGGAGAGGCCAATTGGTCCCAAGAACCCTGCAAGGGTAGAGGCCTCAGAGTCCTCACGGGGTCCCCAGGGAAGAGGTTCAGGCTCCGGTCACAGCAAAGGCCCAGGTACCCTGGGTTCTGTCTCCTGGCAACAAGTGGTCTCTCCAGAGAAGGCTTCTCCAGCAAAGCCCCTGGTCTCTAGAAGAGCCCCCTGAGGGCAGTGAGGCAGAGCAGGCAGAGAGGCCCTGGGCCAGTCTTTGTAGGTACTGCTGGATGGTGGTCCCAGAGATATGCTACCTTTCCCCACCCCCAGGTTCACACCTTCCTCCTTTGGGCTCTACACTTTGTTCCTGCAGGTACACACAGGTGATCCTAAGTGGGTCTCCTCCTACACAGGCCTCTGTGGCTTCTGGCTCCCTTCTGACTAGTTTTCTCCACTGATGCCCAGGATCCAGCTCGGGACCTTGGACATGCTAAGCATGTGTTCCACCACTGAGCTACCCCCACAGCCCCTCTTCCCAGTTCTTGCGTTCTGATGGTGGTAGAAGAAATAGATGGGGCTGATAAATGATATCAAGCTCAGTTGGGCTGAGAAATGGGCCACTTTGGGCACTAAAGAATGGGGACTTAGGGTTGGGGTGTAGCTTAGTGGTAGTGTGTTTGCCTAACATGCCCGAGACCCTGGGTTCATCCCCAGCCCAGCAAAAAATAATAATAATAATAATAAGTAAAAGAAAAAAATGAAAGGAAGAAAGAAAGAAAGAAACAGGAACTGGGAGGACAAGAAAAGAGGGAAAGGGTGAAAGTAGGGCCACCAAGGCGCAAGAGGAAACTGTTGCAGCACCAGTGCCCTTGGGCGGCTTTTCCCATGCAGCACCCTACTGGGTCCCACCCGCTCAACGCTAAGCCAAACTCCATGCAGCTCCATCACTAGGTGGCACTGTCCTCCTTGAAGCTCCTGGCCCCTCCCTGTGGATTATGGCAGAATGGGGCCATGGGAAGGAGCTGAGCTGATCTTCAGACAATAACAAAGGCACAGCAGTACTGGCTGTGGAAATAGTAAAACACATGGTCCAGATTGATAAATAGCTACTGCCCCTTTCCAGTGCCCCTAAGAGGCTCTGGATACCGTCAGAGAAACACTAATGAATCAAAGCCCTGAACAGTAAGAATCCTCCAGATCAGCTATTCAGTTGGCATATCAGCCCTAGGCAGGGGCAGMTACTTCCCAAGTCCCCAAACAAGCCAGGCTCCTCTGTCCCACAAAGATTGAGCTAATTCCCCAACCAAGGCACAAAGCCTGAACTGGAGTTGAGCCTGCCAAGCTCAGACTGTGCCCTGGGCATGGTTCTTCCCCTTGCTGAGCTGCAGCAAAATAGGTGTAGGGGATGGTTTAGATGGTTCTAGGCATCCTTACTGCCACTTTACTGAACTATGATTCCCTGATATCTATACCTCCCCCCACATCTCTACATACACACAAATCGGCTTTTTCTTTTTTCTCCCCCAGAACTGACCCATGACCTGGAAATGAGAGAAGCCCAATCTCACCAGCAAGGTAAGAGAAGAACCACTGGTGGTGAAGTGTCATGGGACCCAGCAGGTCAAGTTCCCTCCAACCCTTAGTAGGACCTATATCTCTCCATTCCAGCCTGAACATAGGGACAGCAACCTCCTCATATTGGTGACATCCTCACCAAGAGAGCATGTCAGCCCTGCCTGCCCATTCAGAGAGTGACCTTGTACAGTAAACAACCTGCAATCCATATGAAGCACCCTGTATCCATGTCTCTGTCCAAAGTAAGAAAAGGAAAGCAGAAAGGAGGTGGCTCTGTGGGTGGTTTTAATTCCACRTTTCTGGGACCCAGCTCCCCAGTTCTTCCCATCCTGTACAAGTGATCTACAGTAAATGTCCACACCCCACCAGATGCTGAGTGTCAAAATGTAACACAATAGTAGTATGGAGTCCTTGGCTTTGAGGCACTTAGTCTAGATGAAAACAAAAGAGATGCACCCACACACACATTAGCAAATCTTCCACTTCACAAAAGCATAACTTAGTGCTACTGTAGCAATTGCATCAGGACATTTTTTTCCCAAAGCATTATTTTACTTATAATATGGGAGTTGGGTGGGGAGATAGTGTTCAATGAGCACAAGAGTTCCAGTTTTGAAAGATGAAAAAGCTCCAGAGAAAACTGAGCACAGTGTTACACACCTGTAATCCCAGACACTAAATTGCCCAGGCTGGCCTCACATTTGGGATCCTGTCCTGAGGCAGGAATATCCCAAATGTGAGGCCAGCCTGGGCAACTTAGTGAGACCCTGTCTCAAAATAAATAAGTAAAAGGAATAGGAATGTAGCTCAGTGGTAAAGCATTCCTGGAGTCAATCCCTAGTACCACAAAAATTAATTTAATTAACTAATTAATTTTTAAAAATTAAAGTAAAAAGGGCTGGGGATGTAGCTCAGTGGTAGGATGCCCCTGTGATTAATCCCAAGTGTGAGGGGTAAAGAGAGGGCAGAAGAGCCAGATACAGAAGCATACACCTGTAATGTCAGGAGGCTAAGGCAAGAGGACCAAAAGTTGGAGGCCAACCTAGGCAACATAGTGAGACCCTGTCTCAAAATAAAAAATAAAAAGAACTGGAGCCAGGCACAGTGACACATGCCTGTAATTCCAGATGCTCGGGAGGCTGAGGCAGGAGGATTGTGAGTTCAGAACAATTTAGTGAGGCCCTAAGCAATTTAACGAGACCCTGTCTCTAAATAAAATATTTTAAAAGGCTGGGGATATGGCTTAGTGGTAAAGTGCCCCAGAACCAAAGAAGAAAAAAAAAATTCTAGATATCTGGGGTAGCCAGGTATTTCTCTGTGTGGTCCCAACTACTCAGGAGACTGAGGCAGGAGGATCACTTGAGCCCAACAGTTCAAGGCCAACCTGGGCAACATAGGGAGATGCTGTCATTAAAAAAGAAAAAAAGGGGCTGGAGCTGGGGCTAGAGCTCAGTGATAAAACGCTTGCCTAGCATGTGTGAGGCACTGGGTTTGAGCCTTAGCATGGCATTAAAATAAACAAATAAATAATTAAAAGAAAAGAAAGTTCTAGAAATCTGTTGTACAACGTGAATATATGTAATACTACTGAACTTAAGAATAGTTAAGATGGGGATGGACACAGTGGTGCACACCTATAATCCCAGCAGTTTGGGAGGCTGAGGCAGGAGGATCTTGAGGTCAAAGCCAGCCTCAGCAATTTAGGGAGGCCCTGAGCAACTCAGTGAGACCCTGTCTCTAAATAAAATACAAAAAAGGGCCAGGAATGTGGCTCAGTAGTTAAGCACCCATGGGTTCAATCCCTGGTACAAAAAAATAAATAAATAAAAGAAAAAAAGAAAGAAATGGTTAAGATGGTAATTTTTATTTTGCTTTAACTATAATTTTAAAAAAATTAAATGTGGGACTGGGGCTATAGCTCAGCGGTAGAGCACTCGCCTCACAAGTGCGAGACCTGGGTTCCATCCYCAGCACCACATAAAAATAAATAAATAAGTGAAATAAAGGTGTTGTGTCCAACTACAACTAAAAAATAAATATTAAAAAAAATTAAATGTGGCAGGAGGAAGATTGCCTTAATCTTAATCACCAGWTTATAGGATTTTAATCCTCAGATTATAGGATCTCTAAGAACTAGGACTGGGTGTTATCCTTTGTCTGTGAAGTGCAAGACATGTTACCTGGCTTGGAGGGACTCTAAGAACTTAGCTAAAAATAAATCCAAAACTAGTTACTCTTGGCCAGAAGAGTTCTTAAGGACAAACTGCCATATTGCTGAGTTGCTTATAGATTAAGAGCTACATGACCAAGAATTGAAGACAAGGACAGCTAGAAGTTTAAGCTAAAATGCTAGGAGTCCTGCAAATTGCTTTGTATATATAAAGATTAGCTGGGATCACTTAAATATTTCTTCTCATTCTGCTCACTTCCTTAGATGGCAGCCCTGGGCAACCCTTGGTCCTTAGGTCCTTAGACACCCCACACACACATACAAAAAAAAAAAAAAAGATGGACAGATCAGTGACAAGCAGCTTTCACCCCTACTGTCTTTCCTTTGAAAAGGTTTTTGGGGTCAGGAGCTCAAGTCACTATCCCAATGTCCTGAGGTCTTTTGTTTTATTCTTCTCTCTCAATGAGCTTGAGAACTCTTTCTTTGTCCTATAACTTGGTGATTTTCATGTCCTAGGGTTCCCTTTTACTTCTTCCTTCTCYTCCTATCCTTCTCTAGGGATTGAACCCAGGAGAACATTGGGCTCCATCCTCATCCCTACCTTTTTTCCTTCTTACTGTTTATTTTTGAAACAGGGTCTCCCTAAGTTGCTGAGGTTCTCCTCCAACTTGCAATCCTCCAGCTTTGCCTCTCTCCTGGGAGTAGCTGGAATTATAGGCCAGCACCACCATACCCAGCCCACTGTTCCCTTTCCTCTTTCTGCTGCTCAGATCTCAACATTGACTCACATGTGCCAAGTCCCAGGATACAGTCTCCCAGGATGGAGTTCATGATCCAGGAGGCTGGGGTCTTCAATTCTAGCTGTTCATGAGATTCACCTGTGAAAACCAAAGCACTATCACTTCCAGGTCCAATCCAAGAGATTGTGATTCAAATAGGCCTTGGTAGGGCCCAGGAAGTATTTTTTCTTTTTAAGTTGTCAAAGGATCTTTATTTATTTATATGCGGTACTGAGAATCCAACCCTGTGCTTCACACATGCTAGGCAAGCATTCTACTACTGAGCTAGAACTCCAGCTCAGGAAGTGGTATTTTTTTGTTGTTGTTTATTTATATTTTTGTGTGGTGCTGAGGATCAAACTCAGTGCCTCACATGTTTGAGGCAACTGCTCAGCCACTGAGCCACAACTCCAGCCCAAGAAAGTGGTATTTTTTTRAAAGCTCTCTGAGTGTTACAATGTTATGTTCAGGGCTGAAACCTGCTGCAGGGGCAAAAGCAAACAATACCCAAGTAAACAAAACCTGAGGATTGAACCCAGGGGTACTCTACTGAGCTACATCCCCAGAGGTATTTATTTGTTTGTTTGTTTTATTGAGACAGGGTCTTGCCAAATTGCCCAAGCTAGTCTGGAACTTGTGATTCTCCTGCTTTAGCCTCCCCAGAAGCTGAGATTATAGGTGCCTGGCTTAAAAAAACAAACAAACAAACAAAAAACAACATGATAAATCTCTACAAAGGAAACAAGGACACCGATTTCTCCCTTCCTGTGAATACTCCCAACTCTTCCAGCCCCTTGCTCTTGCCACGTCTTTCTTCCATGGGGCTTTTGAACAAGATGTTCCCTCTTCTGGAGCACTTCTCCAGGGGAAGAGGTATTCATCGTTCAGATTCTAAGCCAAGCCTCTTCTGCCAGGAAGCCACCTCTGATTAGGTCACATCCTTCTGTTAGAGCATTGATTGATTTGCTTCTTTTTGGAGCATGTCACAGTGTGACCTCATTTATTATTTACTATATCTCTTCCATTGCACTGTAAATTTCTTGAGACCCATTTTATTATCCACCATATCCTCAATGCCTAATACAGTGCATATAGACAGCTCAACAAATTACTTTTGGAAGGACTAAATAGTCAGGAAGAGTTTCACATTTAAAATGAACCCGGAAAGGGCTAGGGATATAGCTTAGTTGGTAGAGTGCTTGCCTCACATGCACAAGACCATGGGTTCAATCCCCAGCACCCAAAAAAAAAGAACCCGGGAAAAATTACAAGGAAAAGCCAGGATATGTGCAAGGATCCTGAGAAAGAAAAAGGCTGGGCCTGGGGCCTTAAGGTCCTTCACCTGCCTCACATGCACAAGACCATGGGTTCAATCCCCAGCACCCCCCCCAAAAAAAAAGAACCCGGGAAAAATTACAAGGAAAAGCCAGGATATGTGCAAGGATCCTGAGAAAGAAAAAGGCAGGCCACTGAGGCTGATTCGTGGGGAGGGAAAGAGCGCACCACAGGCCGMGTAGGTGGGGCGGACTAAAGCTTTGTTACACTGGCCGCTGAGCTGTGGGGATTCTGCCCCACGCCAGGCGGACACCGTCACCGCTCTCTTCTATCTCTTCTTCCCAGAGGAGGCGTCCAGGGAGCTGGAGAGCAAGTGCCGCGCGCTGGAGTCGCAGCTGGCTGCACGGACCGCCGCCAACGCAGAGCTGCGGCGGGAGGTGGCGCAGCGCGAGGTTCTGGTGTCGGCGCTGCGGTGCAGCCTGCGCGCGGAGGAGCGCCGCTTCCTGGAGGAGCTGCGTCGCCGCAGCCACCGCGCCACGGTGCTGGGCACCGAGCTGCAGAAGCACACTGAAGCGGCAGCCTACCTCTCCTGCCAGCTGCACGCCGCGCGCCAGAGACTACAGGCCCCGCGCCCGGGCCCCGGCGCTGCTGCGGAACCCCGGCCCCGCCGGCGCGCTCAAAGGGCCCGCCGCCCGCCCGAGGCCGCCACCAAGGGCCCCAGCCGGGACTGGGCCTCCTGGGACCGCGCGGCTGGACCCCTGGACGACGTCGACCCCATGCCAGACCCCGCGCTCTTCCTCTACGCCCGGAGGCCCCCGCGGCCCGGCGCCCGCGGCCCACGCCAGCCGCCGCCACAGGAGCCACAGGAGCCTCCAGACCAAGGTGGCCAGCAACCCAGGCCCTGCCAGAGCCCGCCCGCAGCATCCAGCGCGCCCGGGGCCCCGGAGTAGGCTTGGGGCTGGCGGGGGAAAGGCCCTCACGGCCCGGCTAGGGACGCAGCCCAGTCCCGCTGGCAGGTCCCGAGGGCCAAGGGCAGTCGCCCCGGCTCCAGGGAGCAGGGGAAGGCGGCCCCAGCTTCCCCACCCCCTCAAACCGCCCCGCCTTTTGTATTTCCCGGCGTTTCTGAAGCTTCGAGCTCTCCCCTCGCGCGAGGGAGTTCCTCTGCGGGGCTGAGCGATTGCACCTTTTTTTGTGGAGAAGGACTCGTACCAATCCAGATCTGGTCCCCACCCTGCCACTGGGAGGGGAGGGGCGGGGGACACGCCCGGGAAAGCTGACAATCTTTGTGGGGAGGGTAAAGGCTGGGTTGGCCTACAGAAGGAAATGCAGAGTGCACTTGGCACCCCTAGACCTTCCAGCTTCCCTGCCCTGCCTCCCCCAGCCCTGCCAAACCTTGCTCCCGAGGAGAGGCCAAAGAGGCTAAGAACCGGCCTCTTCACTCGGAAACCTCCCGTTACCCCTCCCCCATTGATATGTCCTTGCAGGTGAGAGCACCGGAACACTTTAGAATTTGCATCCTCCCAGAAACCCTGGTGAGGAAAGTGCTGCCTGATGGAAGTTGAACTTCCGGAGAGCAGCACGCCATAGACCCTTAGAAGAGTTATGGAATGGTGGCAGGAACGGGGCTGGAGCTATTCCAGCTCAGTTCTTCTCGGGTCTGCCAGGCAGATATGTAGGGATTGGAGCTGTACTGGGGAAGCGCCCTGGGACAGGGCAAAGACTGCTGCTCCCCCTCAGGAGCCTGTTCTGGGAGTTTCCCTAGTCCTGTTATTGGTGCTAACCTTGCCCAGCTTCTAAGCAGCTGGTTGCACCCAGAGGCAGGAAAGAGGGCCTGGCTTCTTGGAAGTAGAAGTTATTGATAGAAGTTTGGGTTTGCAAGGGGGAAATGTCCCCCTCCAGGGATGCCTCTAAGCCTGAGAGTGGTGGGATGCCCCTATGACCCTCTGTCTTGGTGGGGAAATGGTAAATAGAAAGCAAGATTCCTCCCCTCTCCCACTCTCCCAGCTACCCAACCCCCACTACCAAAGGCAGGAAATACAGTTTCAGTCCAGCTCATTGCCCCCAGCCCAGCCCAGCCTAGAAACACAAACCCCCAAAGCTCCGTCACCATCCCTCTTGGGTTGGTCCTACATCGAGTCCTAAGTGCCTGTGAGTTCTTCCAGGGGCTGCCAAGGGAGAACGCCTTTCCCTCACTCAGACACTGGTCCCTGGCAGGTTCTGACCCTGGCTTGAAGACACACATTCTGCGTATCACCCAGGGGTTGGGAGGAGAGCAGAATCAATCTCTATAGGTGAAAAACTCTTCTCCCATTAAGGCCCCCAGGGAGAAGTGGGGAATCCCCAGTCATATCCTCTTTTGCTCTGTTAGAGGGAGGGAGAATTTGGTAAGAAGCAGAACCCAGTGAGCACACTTCAGGCCTGGTCAAACATGCTGCCCCCTCCCAGCTGACCCTATCCAGGATTGATGAATCCACCAAGCAATAACCAGGCCTAGTCTGGGCTGTCCAGCTCCTGGGAGTAAGGCAGCAGAGGTGGCAGTCTGGGAACCTTTCTCTCATTGCCTTACCTCTACCCCACTAGCCCCTGTGGCTGTGCCCAGGCAACTGCCTCTCCTCAAGAGTGTACGATTCACTGTGCCCCATTCTGCTGCCCTCCCTAGCAGAACCTGTGGGGGAGAGGGCTCACTCCCCTCTCTTGAAGGTGCCTGGAGGATTATGGGAAGAGGAAAGTTCTCTTCCAGAGGAACCCACATTGACCTTCATCTCCCACAACCATACCTTTGGGGTGAACAGGGTGACTTTGTTATGTTGATTCTTCTGCAGAGATGGCAAAGTCCTTTATCCACCACCCACCCATCCACTAAAAGCCATAGCTGTGCCACCTGGCCTCCCTCAAGCTCTGTAGCAATAGCTCTCTTCTTTTTTCTTCCTCAGTACCTGGAGTGTCTGGCTAGGGCACCCACCATACCCAGCCCCAGGAATCCTCAGTGGCCTGCCTGCCTCTCCCCAAGAGACCCTATCAGCACTGTCCAAACCCTGTCCCTCCTCCAGCAACCAGATAATGATACTTAATTGTTTGGGTAGTGCTTGGAGAGTCCCCAGATGAAAGAGAGTGCTGGGGTGGCTGACCTGCAGCTGATGTGTTTGGGGGTGGCTGGGAAAGGAAATAAGGCAACCCTTATCTCGGGGAGGAAGAGTGGCGGGAGGCCTAAGGCAGACACAGGGTTCCAGTTTTAACAGAAATAGCCCTTCCCCTACTCTCATCTGGAAATAAAGGAATAGAGACTTCCTTCCACCTACCTGCAGCCTCAGGGCCTGATTGGGGCCCTGCCCTCAGCTTCCACTTCCTCCCCTTCCTGGTCCTGGTTTGAGGGACCCACCAGGCCTAGCTCTTGGAATATTTGGGTGACTGAGAAGGGAAAGGAATGTTTTTCGTCTCTCTTCTCTATTACATGCACCCCACTGGTGGAAGGAGGGGAGTGTTGACATGGACACTCAGAGTCCCTAGGCAGGGATCCCACCACATTCCAAGTATAGAAAGTCCCAGAAAGGAGAGCTGCAGGTAGATGGAAGCCCCCCAGTGTTCAGGAAGCTAGCCAGGGCACAGTGGGCAAAGTTGTATGAGGCTCTATACCCATGACCCTGTAACCCTTCCATCATGACCTGCACTTTGTGGGACCAGTTCAGGGCAGTATAGAGCCCTACCTAGTGGAGAAGGAGGCCAGAGGGTGTGGAGCAGTATCTCCTCACTTGCAGAGCCCGGGGGACCCCTAAATGCCCTCTCACTGATATGTCAGCCTTGAAAGGAGGACATGCAGGGCAGAGGGATCCTGCTCCGAATTCTCTGTTGGCTGCGCTTTTTAACCCAATGCTTTTCAGAGTGTATTCACTCACCCACAGAAATAGAGCCCTGTGCTTTAAGGGGTGACTGTCATATGCCTTATTCTTAATAAAATATTTGAAAAACAAGCAAGTCAGCTCTTTTCCTAGGGCACTGCCTGCTACCCCATCTCTGTTCCTGCAAGTTTGGGGAAAAGAGGTAGAAAGTGGCTTGGGAGTCAGCAGGTAGAGTGAGCAAGCTGAGTCTCAAGGGTTCCCTCAGCAGATATACCTCAGATAAAGCATAAGGTGTTCTCTGAGATGTGCTGACCCCCAGCCTATTGCTGCCATGTAACCCATGCCAATGAACAATGAACGAAAGCAGTCTTAGATCAGAGGCTCCTGTCTAGGCTGGGGAGGGATAGATTGGTAGGATCCCATGCGTGGAATTATCCATTGTTCTGCCTAAAAGGAATCATGAGTTTTGGGCATCTTTGGCTGTGAGGGTTCCCTGCCTCTATCTGTGCATTTATTTATTTATTCACTTATTTACTTTTCCCCAGTACTAAGGATTAAACCCAAGGGCAGTCTACCACTGACTTACCTCCCCAGCCCTTTTCATTTTTATTTTATTTTATTTTTTGGAATTGGGGATTATACCCAGGGGCACTTAACCACTGAGCTTCATCCCCAGTCCTTTTTATTTTGCGACAGGGTCTTGCTAAATTGCTCAGAGCCTAAATTGCTGAGGTTTGCTTTGAACTTGCAATCCTCCTGCCTCAGCCTCCCAAGTAGTGGGGATTACAAGCATGTGCCACAGCTTCCCTGCTCCCATTTGATGCAACTGTAAAAAAACCCAACATCACAGAAGTGAGTCCTTTCTTATTCTCTGTTAATGAGAGTTATCTTAAGACTGAAGGCTTAGGAACTCAGCTTACCCAGCACCCACAAGAATTGAAACCAAAACACTTTCAATCTAGGTCTACGTTGTGGATGAGTCTAGGAGAAAAAAGCAGTAGCTTCACATCCCAAAGATACAAGGGATCCTGATAATAGGACCCATCTTTTCCTTTTGAGGAACAGCATTCTTCCCATCTCCATGTTTTTTGGGGGGATGACCCCCCGCCCCATGGCAAGGTAGGTCATGTTGTTTGGTTTAAAGATGGGTACATAATTCAATCTGAGCCAATGAGAATCAATAATAGGACTTTTATTAAAGCCACTCATTGAACACTCTGTGTTAGGTGCTAAGGTTATAGCAGTGAACAAAATAGGACTGTTGACAAGGACAGCCGGGTCAGGTGGCTTAAATGGCAGATGATCTGTTTGGMGGTCTGGCAGTTCATTTGCTACTATAAGAGATAAGGCTGCCAGAGTATGAAACTATCAGAAAAGAAGCAGAACCAGAAGAGATGAAGAGTCTCCTGGATCCAGTTATGCCTGAAGCTCATACAACCCTGTATCTTTCCTTTATATTAACCAATAAGTCCCCTCCCCCTTCCACACTTTTGCTTTTTTTAAGTGGTCAGCATTGATTTGTGTTTTTTTTCCTTGTTTATTATTTTAAGAGGCAGGGTCTTGCTATGTTGCCCAGGTTAGCCCCAAACTCTTAGGCTCATATAATCCTCTTACCTCAACTTCCTGAGTGGTGAGAACCACAGGCATTGCCAGGTTCTATGTGTGTATGTATGTGTGTTTGTACCAAAGATTGAACCTAATGGCACTATACTACTGAGTTACATTCCCAGTTCTTTTTATGTATTTTAAAATTTTGAGACAGGGTCTTGCTAAATTGCTGAGGCTGACCTTGAATTTGCAATCGTTCTGCCTTAACCTCTTGAGTCACTGGGATTACAGGTAGCCTTTCTACCTACTATTTTGAATTTAGTTCCTTGTCCCAGCCTCTAGGATTAAGTTTTGGCCCAGGCTGGACTAGGCCAAGGACTTGTAGCAAACCCAGAGAGTATGGCCCGGGGCTCTGCTTGTTCATGTCCTTTTTTTTTTTTTATTTTTTTATTTTTTTTTTAAAGAGAGAGTGAGAGAGAGAGAGAGAGAGAGAATTTTTAATATTTATTTTTTAGTTCTCGGCGGACACAACATCTTTGTTGGTATGTGGTGCTGAGGATTGAACCCGGGCCGCACGCATGCCAGGCGAGCGCGCTACCGCTTGAGCCACATCCCCAGCCCATGTTCATGTCCTTTTATCTCCTGTGGATCCTAGGGGAAGGAACGTTTAGTATTGGGTAAAACATTAGCCAAAGACTCTTGGGTCTCATGTACAATTTTTTTAAAATATTTTTTTTTTAGTTGCAGATGGACACAATACCTTTATTTTGTTTATTTATATGTGGTGCTGGGATGGAACCCAGTGCCTCATGCTTGCTCAGCAAACGCTCTACCACTGAGCCACAACCCTGGCCCCATCATATACAATTTTAGAAAAAGGAAAAAAGAAAGGAAGGAAGAGAAGAGGTTGAACTTAAGCCCTCCCTCAACAATAACAGACCCTTGGGGCTGGGGATGTGGCTCAAGAGGTAGCACGCTCGCCTTGCTACCTCGTGCGGCCCGGGTTCAATCCTCAGCACCACATACAAAGAAAGATGTTGTCCGCCAATAACTAATAAATAAATAAATATTTAAAAAAAAAACAATAACAGACCCTTGGGGATGCTTGGCTGAACCCAGCCCAGAACCCAGATGAAAACAGAGATGTAAAATGTCAGCACCAGATAACTCTCAGAGATCACTCATGCAATTCCCTCATTCCACAGATGGGGAAACTGAGGCCAAGGACATCTCACTACTGTCAATCCTTTCTTCCTGGAAGTTCTGCCCACACAGGTTTGGGGTTGAGGAAGTTGTAACATTTCCTCCTCTAGGTTCCCACAGTCAAGGCAGGGAGATAGGGGACTCCCTTCTGAAGTCCAGGAGGTTTGGGTCCTAGTCCCACTTCGCCACCTGCCTGGGGAACACCAAAAGAAGTGGGGAACTATGTATGGCTAGCTAAGTAGGTGGATTCCTCATAACAACAATTAGGGAGGTGGAAGGCTTTCAGAGGGCTAATTATGTGGGCTAGGTCTCAGCCTAGATAAACTTCCTTAGGCGTTTGGCATCTTTATGTGAGAGCTCCAAAGATAAGAGAAACTAAGGTACAAAGAAGTACCATCCTGGCAACCCTGAGGATGGGATGTGCAAGGAGAGCCCGTAAGGGACAGGGGAAGACAGCCACTGAAGACAAGTGGTAGATTCCAAAGCTGCTGGGACCACCTAGTCACCAAGCCCATGGACAGATCAGTCATCAGCCCTCCTGCTTATCAATAGACACTCCCAAACATTGACCAGAGGTGGACAGGGAAGGCCTCCTCTGCTGGGTACTCTGCATGGGCACAGGCTGGTGGGTCTAACTGTGCATTATTAAAATGATATGAAGCTCTGGATACAAAGGTCAAAGCTACAGTACACAAAGGCAATATCTGAAAGTTAAGCCCAGATATTATAAACAAAACGGTGGGGATCAAAGGTGGCACTCTGGGCTGCCAACAAAGCTACCCCTCTCCACCCTGTGAAGCCCTCAAAAGAACTGTTTGGTATTCTGTATGCCTGGATCCTCCACTCAGCTAACAAGTATATATTAAGCACCTACCTGTAGCAGGCTCTGGGAAGATTCCTAGATTACAAAGGTACTGTCCTGTTTGGCACAGTGGCACACACCTGTAATCCCAGCTATTCAGGTGGCTGAAGCAAAGGATCACAAGTTCAAGGCCAGCCTGGGCAATTTAGTGAGACTTAGTCTCAAAATTGAAAAAAAAGGGGGGGGGGCCCTAGGGACTGCAGCTTAGTGGTAGAGCCCTCCTGGGTTCAATTCCCAGGGTCAAATAAATAAAAAATACAGTCCTTGCTTTCAAGAAGACCCTTGATCTAGCAGTTCTCTAGACCTGAGAACCAGACATCCCATTTTGGTCAAGACAGTCTCAGTTTCCCAGGAACACCACTTCCTATTTCCCAGTGTCATTATTAATAGTGCCTACTTTAATTCTCAAAACTGTCCTGGTTTGAATGGCAAAGTATTTGGTAACCTGAACCACAGCACAATGTTACAGGTAATGCTGGATATAGTTGGGAAAGTAGGTGTAGCTCCTATTGAAACCACAATGGAGATTGGGATGTAGCTCAACAGCAGAGAGCTAGCAATGGAAAAACATTGGTAAGCCAGGTGCTTGGGTGTATACCTGTCATCCCAGATAGGATAAGGGTCTCAAGTTCAAGGCCAGTCTGGGCAACTTTGAGACAAAAACCCTGTCTCAAAATAAAAAATAAAGAGTGTAGCTCAGTGGTAGAGCACTTGCTTAGCATGTGCAAATTCTATATACTGTATGGTAAAAACATCTCTCTAGAAAGGTACAAAAGAATTGGTAACCTTGGTAGGTTGGCTGGAGACCAGTGAGACTTCAATGTATATCCTTTTTACTTTTTGGAATTTGAACTGTATGAATGTATTGTGTATTTAAAATTCTTTTAAAATTAGGTATTTAATTAAATAAATGAGTGAATTAATTCTCAAGAGCACCTCATTATTATTCTTTTTTGTACTAGGGATTGAACCCACGGCGGTATTACCATTGAGTTATATCCCTAGCCCTTTTTATTTTCTTAAATTTGAGACAGGGTCTTGCTAAGTTGCCTGGGCCAGCCTTGAGCTTATGATTCTTCTGCCTCAGCTTCCTGAGTGACTTGAGATTACTAGTGTGCACCACAGCAGCACCTAGCTTCAGAGTCCCTCCTGAGTCTGCCCATATGATTCTCTAACCTCTTCATTTAAATCCTTTGTAATCTTTAAAATCAATTTAGACCAGACTACCCAGAAGAACTTCCTGAATGCTTTCCCTAACACTAACAGCTTTGTGTAAGGACATTATTCTGCAGAGTTGGACATCTGCAGAGTGTGTATCTCACTTTACCCACCAGATTGAAATTTCTTCCCAGTAGAGAGTGGGCCTGGTTCACCTCTGGTCTTCCTAGCACTGAACTCTTGAAATCTGTTTGAAAGAATCAGTGAATCAGGAGCCCCATGAATGTTTTATGCTTTGTGAAGGGCTTTGATGACCGCCATTT